TGAGCTCGCCTCGGTTGACGATCTGCCCGCCAACCCGCCAAGCCCCTCGGCCGCCCATGATGAACCTGCCCTTGTTCAGTTCCGAGTTGAGTACGATCCAGCCCCACGTGATCCTTCTCATCCTCGGGTCATCGGTGTTCTCGCCCCCCGATGCATTGCCTGCATTGAAAAACACATGTGACGCCCGTAACCCCCCAAACCCGAAATTCGGACGAACTTCTGGTCTTCGTGTTGGTTTGGGGTGGTTTGGTACGGTAGTCAAGCCTTCTAATCAAGCCCCTCGCGAAGTGGAGGTCCGCGCCTTCCTCCAGGCCCTTCCCCGCCCAGTGCTCCGTTGCCTTGGCCCACTTCCTCTGCCTCGGCGAGCGCCGCCCTCAGCTCGCTGGTGCCCACCGCGTCGTCCGACTCCTTGGGGTCGTCGCCGCCGGAAGACCTCGCCGCGCTGACTCCCAGTGCCTTGGGCCGTGAGGTACCCTGCCCAGGTCCACTCCCCGCCATCGATCTTTCTCCCTCTTGGCCTTCATCTCCTTGGCGATCCTCTCCCAGATAAGCGTAGCCCAAAGTCGGGCATGCCCCTCGACAGGAGGAATGTTCAAACATAGTCAAACAACAGTCTGGGGGGCGTCCTGTTGTTGTTTTAAATCTGTACATGTTTTGACTCTTGCTAGGTTCGTCCAAATGCGCTTGTAGGAGGGCATGCCCGACCTAAGCTTAGCCTTGCGCCTCCTCTTGCCCTCGCTGATGACGTGCATCCAGGAGTCCAGTAGCGAGAAGATACGCCCCGTGCCCAGGGTCGCCTCGCCCCAACCCCAGCTGCATCAGAGTGGCGAGGCACCTCCCGCTCAGCCGAGGCGCGATCATGCCTGCAAGCCTCCTTCTCCACTTGGTGATCACCGAGGGCGCCATGCTGAAGACCTTGCGCGCGTATGCCGCCCCTGGTAGCGATCCTCGATGCACCACTGCCATTGCTCCGCCTCGAGCCCTTCGCCCAGCTCAGAGCATCCTCGTAGCCTTCTCGACCTGTCTGTCCGCGCGCGCCGTCCTCTTCGCGCGCTTGCCCTTGCCCTTCGCTACGCTGCCCCTGTCAATCCCGAGGTCGGGCGCCTGGTCCTTCAGCGTGACCGTGATGTTGCGGCTCTTCAGCTTGAGCGCGATCTCTGGCGGCTGACTCAGTGGACAGCACCAGCTTCGCCTTCTTGGCGCCTGCTGGGAAGTCCACTCCTGCCCCCGTCAGCTGCTTGATCACCTGGGCCTTGGACCCTTCGATCCTCCTGGTGACGCCGTCGACCCACAAGCGCACGTGCAAATGTGCGAACTTGTTGCTCACCTCCTCGAGCACTGCGCACGACGCGACCCTGCCGAAGTCGATCACCCCCCTGGCGCCCGCGCAGGTGGACCTCTCGGGGGCGATGGGCTCCGCGTGCGCCGTTTCCTCCCTGACGAGCCTGCTGCTCAGGTGGCTGAGCATCTCCAGGTTGAAGTCGGGCCTGTCCCTCTACAGGAGGAATATTCAAAAATAGTCAAAAATAGTCGGGGGACTATTTTTTGATTATTGTTTCTGCCATTGTGGAGTATTTTTTGTTTTTTTTACGCTCGAGATCGCCCCGTAGGGGGATCCGCCCGACCGAACTCCAGGTGCAGAGTGCGCGCTGGCAGCCCGAGCCGGAGCCCCTCGTCCGAGGTCAGCACTGGCGCCGAGGCCTCGCAGAACTCCGCCAGGTCTGAAGTCGGGCCTGTCCCTCTTCAGGAGGAAGATTCAAAAAAATAGTCAAAAAATAGTCAGGGGACTTTTTTTTATTTCGTATTTTTACCAATTTGAGAGTGTGTTTTGAGTGTTTTTTCTTTCTTTTTTTTTAAAAAAAAACAAATGTTCGTCGCAAATCCCCCTGTAGGGGGACAGGCCCGACGGAAGCCAAGTCCCAAAACACCGTGGCCGCGCAGATCTTCTGCGGCGCCCACTGGAGGACCTCGCCGGCAGTCCACCGCATCAGGGCCTCCTTCCGCGCGCCGTTGCCCGCGATGGCCGCGCCCCACTTGCCTGCCATCGCCTTCACCCACTCGTTTGTGTAATGGAGGATGACGATTAATAAATGACCTGGGGTCGTGTTCACGCGGCGGCGCCTGGGATGACGATTAGAAAAAACCGGCCGCGGGCTGGAACACTATTCTTTTTGATTCATCGTTCTCCTCCAGTCAGAAAATTATGCAGAAATGACAGAAAACTGTTTTTTGAATCGTTGCCCCCTCATTGTTTTATCATCGTCATCCCGCATTACTTACTGCGCACCTTGGACCATCGCTTCACCACTTCTGGTAGGAGCCCCAAGGCTCGGTCCACACCGGCCCTCTTTCTCAGCCAACTCCTCGGGGCTCGAGAGACGGGGGTCCATGCAAACGGGGGTCAGCCAGGGCACCAGATCCTGCAGGATCCTGCGAAGACCCCTTCTGGCTGACCCGGGTTAGCGAGCCGCTCGTGGCCGCGAGGCGGCCGCGCACATTGGTTGACCTGGCTTGATAAGACCTGCGTTGCAGTTTTTGTTGTTTCTTGCATTGCAGTTTTTGGTGTCCTGCTGACCCAGGTCTGGATTGACCGGGTCAGAAGATCCCCGAACTCACCAGCGAGATGAGCAGCCGCCAAGGCCATGCTCCCGAGCTCTCGACGTTTTCGATCAGCTGCCGCAGCTGCTCGCGCGCGCTCGGCGTCAACTACTTGCAAGCCGGCGCCCCCATCTGCTCCACGCCCTTCGCTTTGCTTTTCGACATCGTGTGGATGGCGCTGTCCAGCGTTTCCGTGATGATGGGCACCCAGTCATCTTCCATGGCCGCCTCCCTCGTACGGCCGGGCGCGCTGACCAACTGGGCCCTCGGTGTCGAGCTCGTCCACTTCTTCTTCCGATGCGCCCCCTCCGCGTCCATGTATTCCACCATGCTGTACGTCTGATGTCCATTGCCGCGGTTCTCGTTGTCGCACCTTGGCTGGTCCATTGTTTTGCGATGCAGCTTCACTGCACCAATTGCCTCCTGTCCCTGTGCCCAGTTGGTATAGCCGATCAGAGCCTCCCTGACCTTTGCGCGCTTTCCCTGCTTCGCCGTGGTGAGCGCTGCCACACCCAATTGCTGCAACTGCGCGCTGTTCATAGTATTGATCTCGCTCGACGCTGTCCTCCACGTCCTCTTCTGCTTCGCCGTCATTGGATGATGCCCCAGTCAGCCCCGACGTCGATCCCGAGCCTGACGGCAATGAGGTTGAAGTTCAGCTTCTCCGGTCCTTCGGCTCGATCCGCAGCATCGCGACGTAGAAATGCTCTACCGCGTGCACCCATTCGCCGCACCTGCTGCCGAGCTCCCTCGACGCGGCGGCCTCGAACTGGTACGCCGTTGTGTCCTTCACGTGCTGCAGTGGCGCGACTTGCGGTCATGCTTCACCGCCGTCTCGAACTTCACCTGCCAGAAAGCGTCCTTCTCGCTCTCGTTCAGGTCGAACATCTCGCCAGTGTCCTTCTCTGCATTCTTCGTCTCTTGCGCCTCGAACTCCCCGTAGGCGTCCAGGTCCTCCTCCGCGTCGCTCGTCTCGAAGTCGCCGAAGTGGTCCTCCGTGGCAGATCCCGGGCAGATCATGGCAGCTCGCCGCCCTCATGGTTCTCGGAGGGAGAAATGCCCAGTTGGCTGGCTGGCCAGCTCGGCTTCCCTCATGGCCTGGTTGACCTCCTATTCCGTCTTCGTCCGCGACCGCTTGCCGTTGGGGTCGGCCGTCCGCTTGGGCACGCTCGGCAAGTGGACGGGCTTCGGCAGGCGCAGGGCCCTCTGCACTGCTGCCTCCGCTTCACCTCGCAAGTGCACTCGCACTCCGCGGTGATCTCCAGGGCAAAACAGATCCGCGCAGACGCGGCCGAGCTAGGTCAGGAGTGGCCTCGAGCAGACCGCGCAGTCCAGCGTCCTCGCAGGGCTCCGCGCGCAGATGCGCGTGACGCCCTCCGGCGTGCGCCCCTCCGCGCGCACGCAGGCCTCGCCGCCACGCCTCCTGCAGCCGCTGCGGCTCCACGCTCCCGTCGCCAGTCCCCGCCCACGGCCCCGCTGTGGCCTCGCACCGGCGATGCGATCCTCGCTCTTGGCTTCACGCTCTCGCGCCGCGTGCCGGTGGATGATGCGGGGCGGGTGCCAATGATCATCACCGTTCACCTCTCCCACCTCCAGGTCAGCACTGCGAGGCCCTTGACGTCAATGGGTCCTGCCGTCCAGTCGCTGCCCAGCTGCCTAAGCCCAACTGCTTGCGTCGGCTTCGCCGCCAGGTGCCTCAAGGTCATCAGTGAGTAGTGTGACCTGCCCGCTGCGACGATCCCTCCTGCAAGCTCGCTGCGCTTGCCCATCTCTGTTGGCGTCACTACCGACTTCTATCCATGCAGATCCATGAATTGCAAGATCTCGTTTCTGCCCGAGCTCCCCACGTGCTTCTTGAGGAATGCCACCACACAACTATTTAGGTTGTCTAGCGTCTTCTTGAGTGGCCCCCACGACGGCATGCCCTGCATGGAGATGGTGTCGCTGCCCCCCTGAATGCTGCATGCCCTTACTGCCGCTGCCCTTCGCCCTTGCTGCCAGCACCATAGCCTCCATCGTTCAGGAGGGAAAAAAGCACACAGACACAATCAATCGTCGACGCCCAGGAAAATATGGAGAACTATAGGTAGTGGGGGGAAGACGAAAACCCAGAAAATATGGAAAAGGTGGGGAATTCTGTTAATCGTGTGTATTCATTTGTCTGTCCCAGGGCCCCTTCAATCGTATCCTTTCTCTTCAGCTTCTCCTCTTCACGCTCGCTGCCGACCTCCGCCTCTGCTCCACTGCCGCCTGCGGGCGTGGCCCCCGCTTGCCGACGATGTGGCCGCCGCCGACGTCGCCAGTGTGGGCACTCCGCCAGGCACTGCATCTCCTGCTCGTGCTGCCTCGCCCTGCGGCTTGGCCTCCTCGACCTCTCTCCTCTTCCTCCTCTTCTTTTACCTCTACTTCCGCAGCTCGTCGAGCCATGCCTGCTGCGCCGACGTCTGCTCCTTGAGCTCCTCCGCCGCTGACTCGAGGGCCTGCTTGGCCGCTGCCTTCGCCTCCTTGACGACGTCGGCTTTGGGCTTCTCCAGCTCCTTGGCGTCGTCGGCCGGGACCACGCTCTCGCATTCGTCCAGGGCGATAAGTTCGCCCGTGTCAACCTCCAGGCCGCCGTCGCCAAGCAGCGTGGCGATGTGTAGCCTGGGCTTGCTTCCTCCACCTTCACATGCTGGCTGAGTCAGTCACGAGTGGATGACATGGCAGCTCCTCCTTGATGTGATCCTCCGCCTGTGAGACCTCCACCGAGCGGTGCATGAAGTCCTTCTCAGCTTGCTCGAGCTCCGCACGAAGCCACTCTCGCCGACGGTATGCCTTCTGCTGCTTGCGTGTGGCCGTCTGTGCGGCGTCCTCTGCTGCTCGGAGTGCCGCCAGAGATCCAGGGATCGGTTGCTGAGCTCCTCTTCCTGCAGGCTTCGGCGCCAAGATGTTGAGCGCCCCCTCTAATACCTCTATACGCTTGTTGTCGTCCCCTGTGCTGAGCTGCGCCGTCATCTCGAGCGCATGGATGGAAGCGCCAGGGGTGCCATTCTCGTAGTAGCTGTTGCTGTAGTCGCCGCTGTAGCTGCCGGGCTTGTGCTCGCCAGGAGCCGTTGACCCCCATGCCGAACCGCCGCACGTGCACTTGTGGCCAGCGCCCTCCAGCCGATCTGCCCAGAGCCACTTGCCGCACTCGTCGTTCTGGAAGTAGGCCTTGGCCCCGCCGCCGCTTCTGCCTCCATGACCCCAGCTCCTGGGCCTGGTGCAGTAGGGGCGCGCATCAAGAAACCATCTGCTTTTCGTCAGGGTGCCCTGGGTTTCTTTGCTCCGCGCGCTGCGCGGCGACCTCCCGCGGCCGTCCGAGGAGCTGGTGCGTTCAGGGTGCTCCAGGCTTCCCCTCAGGTGCACCTCGCGCACGGGCTCCCAGGGTTGGACTTCCTGCGAAGGTTTCTTGCGGCCGCGCCCGCGCTGCAGGCCTCGGCCCCGCCGCCGCCGCTGCCTCCTTGGCCCCAGCTCCTGGGCCTGGCAGTCTGCGCCCGTCCGCCGCCGCGGCTGCAGCCGTCAAGGCACGGGGGGGCAAGCCGCACCCACGGCTGGCGCCGCCGTGGACTCCGAGCTCCGCCACGCCGACTGCCTCCGCCACCGCAGTCACCGCCGGTGCCGTCGCCACCTCCCAGACTCGGAGAAGCCGGTGCCGTGGCCGCCCTGCGCGGCAGGATATGGGAGACGTGGAACGAAGTCGAGACCTCGAGATTGAATGCGCTGAATCGCTGGCCCTCGGCACCAGAGCGGTCCTACCGCTTGAAACCGCCAGGGGACTCGCGGTCTCTGGAACCCTCATCGGCCTTGATTCAAATCGTCACAGATTGATGATGATGATGATGATGATGATGATGATGATGATGATGATGATGATGATGATGATGATGATGATGATGCTGATGCTGATGCTGATGCTGATGCTGATGCTGATGCTGATGCTGATGCTGATGCTGATGATGATGCTGGTGATGGTGATGGATGATGGTGATGGTGATGGTGATGGTGATGGTGATGATGATGATGATATTGTTGATGATGGTGAGGATGATGATGATGGTGATTCTGATGATGATGATGCTTATGCTGATGATGATGATGATGATGATGATGAGGCTGATGCTGATGATGCTGATGACGATGATGATGATGATACTGATGCTGATGCTGATGCTGATGCTGATGATGATGATGCTGATGATGATGATGATGCTGATGCTGATGCTGATGATGACGATGATGACGATGATGATGATGCTGATGATGATGCTGATGATGATGCTGATGGTGATGCTGATGCTGATGCTGCTGCTGATGATGATGATGACGATGATGGTGATGATGATGATGATGCTGATGACGATGATCACGATTATGATGATGATGATGATGATGATGATGATGATGATGGTGATGGTGATGGTGATGGTGATGGTGATGGTGGTGATTCTGATGATTGTGATTGTGATGGTGATGCTGATGGTGATCATGATAGTGGTGGTGATGGTGATGTTGACGATCGTAATGGTTATGGTGATGGTGATTGTGGTGGTGATGGTGATGACGCTGGCTGCGATGATGATCGTGATGATGATTGTGGTCGTGGTGATGATGATGACGATCGTAATGGTTATGGCGATGGTGATGGTAGTGGTGGTGATGATGATGACGCGGATGGCGAGGATGATAATGATGATGTTTGTGATGATGGTGGTGACGATGAGGAACAGGACGATGTTAACGCTGAAGCTGACGCTGATGCTAATGATGATGTTGGTGGTCATGGTGACTATGATGAGGAGGAGGATCAGGATGAATTTGAGAATGATGACGAGGAGGAGGATGTTGTTGTTGACGATGATGATGCTGATGATGATGATGATGATGATGATGATGATGATGATGATGATGGTGATGATGCTGATAATGGTGATGATAATGATGATGAGAATGTCTGGCAGCCGAATGTAGATTAGAACCGCTCGCCCGAACCAGAGAGTCTTCAAATGCATTCGCGCTGAACTGGGGCAGCTCGCGGCATGGATCGTGTCGCCTCTGGAGCGTCTGCGCTTGACTTGTTCGCTTGCCACCCCCCTGCCCTGCAGAGGGGGCGAGGCCTCCTCGGAGTCAGTCGGCGGTGGACAGACCTCTCTTTAGCAAACCACCCTTTAGTGAAAACGGCCCAGGACTGAAACCGACGGATCTGGACCCGCAGAAATGACGGCCGCGAAGCCCTCTCGAGAACCGCAAACGGCCGATGCGCTGATCGACTTGTCAGGGTATTAGGTCTATCAGCCTCCGAGTCAGGCCGAGGCTCTTCACCTCCGACGACCCGGAGCTCTTCGGCAGACACCCCCTGGACAGCCACGTCGCCAGGCAGCTCTCCGACAGCCGCCTCGGCAGGCAGCCCAGCGCCGACCGCCGGCCCCTGCACGGCAGGGCCCGCATCGCGTCGGACGCCTCGCAGTGGTCCGTGAGCTCCGACCGCGGCCTGGAGCACCACCCCAACGCGCGCGAGGAGGCCGAGAAGCAGGGCCGCACGGACCACAGGCGTCGGGTTGACCCAAAAGGGGATCCAGCGACGAGGGGGTGGTGCAATAGGTTTGGTGAAAATACATATGTGGGGCCGCAGTAGATTATGGGGCGTGTAACACATTCCGGTGCGCAGCTGCAATGCTGGATTCCCGCGTGCCATGCACTACGTTTTTGCAGTACCATGCATTACCATTCTCCGGCGCAATACATTTGCAGCATACTTGCCCCAAACCTCTTGCACCACCCCATTTCAGCTGGACCCCCTCTTGGGTCACCCAAGAGGTGCCTCCGCGTCCTCGCGAAGGCCGTGGCCTTCGCCATCACCGCGGTGGCGGCCCCGCTGGCGTGCCGACGCTACGGCCTGCCCACGCCTCAGCGCTGCGGTGTCCTCTTCGCGTCGGTGCTGCTGCTCAACCTGGCCGAGGCCTTGCCTCTCTACTGCCTCTCGCTCCTCGTGCCGGTGCTGGGCACGCTCTGCGGGGTGCTGGGGGAGAAGCGCAGCATCCCCGAGACAGCCACCCTGCTCGTGTCGAATTTCTTCACGAACGTCTCCTTTCTGGTGCTCGGGGCCCTGGTGACCAATGGTATCTTCGCCAAGTGCGGCATTGACCAGCGAATGATTCGATGGTTGTTGCTGATGGTGCCCATAGAGAGCGGTTTGTTCCTACTCCTCCTCATGCTTGGGACAACCGCGGTTGCTTCTGTCTTGTATTCTGCATCATTGATGCTTTTTGCTTCGTTACGAGTGTTCCTCTATCAGGAGAACGGTAAAACATCAGTTCCCGTACCAGTGGCCAAACGTATCCTTTTGGGGGTTGCGTTTGCATCCAACGCTGGATCAACGTGGTTGCCGATATCGAGTCCTGTTAATTTGGTCGCAATGGGTTTGTTAGGTAATTTCGACAAGCGGCTAACATCGACGGAGTGGGCAGCCTTCGCAGTACCAGTAGCCACCATTACGGTGATAGGCTCGTGGGCTGTGCTCATGATGTGCTTCCCCACGCCGGGCTTTCACGAGGACGAGGACGAGGACGAGAAGATGCCCTCAGCGCGGGGGGCTTCGAAACGCAAGTCAACTTACACCGATGCGGAGCTCTACGACAACTTACCAGTTGAAGCACAATCATACGACCCTTTCACGCCGGCGCAGGTCTTCTTCATGGCGTTAGCTCTTGTGGCAGTGCTGCTGATCACCGCGTTCCCTCCAGTGCTGGAGAGGCTAATCGGCCACCCTGCCATCTTGTCTTTGTGCGTTGTGGTTGTCGTGTTCGGCAGTGGCTTCATGATGAGGGAGGAATTCCTGCAGCTCGACTGGGACCTGCTCTCTATTGTCGGCGGCACGAATGTGATGGCATTTTTGGTTCGCGACACGAGTCTCGGAGCCATCTTGTCCGAGGTGATCGTGAACCACCCGTACTTCGAGTTTCTGCGTTTCAGGAGCATGCTGATTTTGCTGGTCTGCGGCACCTTGTCAGTGTCAACGTTGCTTGGCCACACTATGTCAGGCGTGATTCTTCTGCCGCTGATAATCGCTGTCGGCGTGAAGGTGCAGGCTGCGCAGACTGTTGCTCTCATCTGCACCGTCGCAGTGCCGCTTGGAATGGGATTTTCGCATTCTTCGTTCGACAATGTTGCAGCTTTGACTACCTCCATGAATCTGGGGAAGCAAGACGCTGTGCTTACGAGGCGAGACTTCAACCGTTCGGGCATGCTCACGACAGTCTGGGGTGCTTTGGTTCTCCTCTCAGTCGGGCCGTGGGTCGCGGAGCAGATGTATGGGCCGCCACCACCCTTAGTCGTGGCAGAGATCTCAGACACTCCAGAGGAGCTGAAGCCGAGGGTGGTCAAGGAGTCTCTGCCAGCGGAGGTGGAGCAGGTGAGATGGAAGAAAAAGCAGCTAGCCAACTGGAACGAGTTCCTCAAGAGACCAGAGAAGAAAGCGTTCGCCGTCGGCACGATCAAGGGCATGCACACGCGTGGCTGGGCGGCCACTTGGAACCACCCCACCCAGGAGGGCGCCAACCGCGCCGCGCTGGACCACTGCGAACGGCTCGCCGACAAGTGCCGGCTGATCTACCCAGTGGACCAGGACTCTGGCCGCCCGAAATCGGTACGGAAACCCAACAACTGATGTTGTCCCAACCCGACAGCGTCCACTGTTGGGCAGGCGGCACTGTGTCTCAGATGGACAGCGCCCGCCGCGGCACCGTCCTCGGGCCCGGTTCAAAATGGGCACGAATTGCTGTCGGCCTTCGTGCCCATGGTTTCCGTACCCATGTCGTCGGCTGCACGTAACGGTGACCCTTCGCTGGAGTGACTTTTCGTGCGGGTCCATTGGGCCCCCCCCCCGATCGCTGAGTGCGATGCGGCAGCAGCGGCTTCGTGCGCCTGGCGGTGCCCCCAAAAGGGCCCCCCCCCAGGCCGCGCACCCAAGGCCGCTCTTGCCCAGGGAAGTTCTTGCGTGGAACCGATTCCGAGATTCGAATCAAGGGAGGACAAACCACCCGGACCGCACACTTGACGTTCACTGAACGGCCCCGTGCGTTTACGGAACAGCCCTGCCCGGTTCGATTCTTTTTGGGGGGGGGCGCGTTTACGAAGCGACTTCGCGTGTCGTGGTGGTTATGGTCAGGGGGATGTTTTAACGGACGAAAAACACACAGACACAAATAATCGTCGATCCCCAGGAAGATATGGGAAAATATGGGAAGTGGGGGGGGAAGACGAAAATCTCAGAACAAATATTGAAGCACATGGAGAATCCTGTTTCTTGTGTGTACTTATTTGTGTGTCCCTGGGCCTCTTCATAGGGGGGCTTCGACCCGAAGGACCGTCTTCGTTATCGTGAGGGTGTTTGAGTCGTATATTGTCGTTGTCGATGTCGTTGGAGAGCCGTTCCCATGTGAGGTCGACGATGCATTGGCGTCGTAACTCGTGCTCTTCCGTCTCGCCTGGCAGGACTGTCATCCCGTCGCGCTTGTAGCTTGCACATCGGGGGAAAATGGATGTCGCATGGGCGTTGGGGCCAGTGGTTCTGTATGCTGTTGTGTGAGCTCCCAGCGAAGGGCTTCGACCCGAAGGACCCGCCGAAGGGCCTGCCCTGTTCGATTCCTTTTTTGGGGCGCGTTTACTAAACGACTTCGCGTGTCGAGGTGGCGGCGGCGGCGACACCGAGGAGGAGGAGGGGGAGGAGGAGGAGGAGGAGGAGGAGGAGGAGGAGGAGGAGAGGAGGAGGAAACGGTGGATGGGGGGGGGGTTTCGAATCTCACCAACGAAGGGCTTCGACCCGAAGGACCTGCCGAAGGGCCTGCCGAAGCCGCCCGCGGCCCGCAGGGCCCTCGCCTCGCTGCCGCGGCCTCCGCCGCTGCCCGCCCCCGGCGGGCCCTCGCGGCCGCCGGGCTCCGCGGGCCCCGCGGAGCCGGTCGGGGAGCGCCCCGCCCGTCGGGTCGGCCCAGGATCGAGCAGTGGCGCACAGGGGGAAAAGGTACCCATACCTTTGAGTCGGGCGTGTCCCCCTACAGGGGGGAATTTCCGACGAACCACAGAAAGTGACATTTTTTTTTTTTTTTTCTTTCCAAAAATGGGCCAAAGAAAACTCCAAGAATAGTCTCCGGACTATCTTTTTGACTATTTTTGAATATTCCCCCTGTGGAGGGACAGGCCCGACTTGCCCACACATCTGCCCTTCGCCCGTTTCCCCCCTTTTGTTGGGCCTCCTGGGCTTCCCTCGTCGCCACCGCTGGATTCGCCTCGAAATCCTGGTCAGAACGCACCCCTGGAGAGGTCCGGGGAGTAGCGGTATCGGTACCTTTTGGTCTCCCCAGTGGCGAAGCGTCTTGGCGTGCCTATAGGCCTACCAAGCAATGTTCCAAGATAACCTTTTAAAATGGTTTCCATGGGATGCTCTCAGAACACTTCTGGCTGGGGCTGTCTTCTTTTTTTCCACATCGGGCTTCTGCTCTCAGAACACTGTTATTTTTGTTCTGAGAACATCTTCTGGTTCCGAGAAGAGTTCGTGGTAGGTCTACAGGAATGCCGGGACGGTCGGTCTCTGCTCAAAGGAGGGCCGCTGCTGGTCCAGGGGGTATGGGGCATCCAGCGCTTCGGGAGGAGGGAGGCTCGGAGGAGGAGGACAAGGTACCCATACTTCGGAGGTGGATAGGCCTCCTACCCTGACACGTCGATTAGCGGATTGGCCGTTCTCGGTTCGCGAGAGGGCGTCGCGGCCGTCATTTTTGCGGGTCCAGGTCCGTCGGCTTCCGTCCCAGGCCGTTTTCATTCAGAGGGTGGTTTGCTAAAGAGAGGTCTGTCCACCGCCGAACACCGCTACCCCTGCCGCGTTTTCACCTTTGGGAGCCTCCTCGCGAGGCCCTTCTCGCCACGGCTGGCGTCGCCTCGAGATGCTGGTGTGGACGCGGCCCGGGAGAGCTTCATGGCGCAGCAGCAGCGGCACGTCGTTTCGGTTCCCCCATGGAGGCGCGCACCGCGGGCTTCTTGCGCCTGGACCACGGCGGCGAGGGCTTCAAGCCGTGAGGGGAGCGAGCCACAAATAGTAAGTCGGGCCTGTCTTTCTACAGGGGGGAACTTCAAAAATAGCCCAAACACAATTATTTAACCAAAAATATGTTTGAATCTTTTGGGGTATGTTTTGTGTATCTTTTATTTTTCGTCCAAAATCCGCCCGTAGTGGGACATGCCCGACCTGACACTAATACATGAAAACCACCAGATGTCCTCCCTTTCGCCTGCGGCGGCATCTCGCGATTCCGGATGGCCTGAGGATGTTGACCGCTCCCCGCCCCGCATCTTGGGGAAGGGCGGCTTCCCGCGCAATCGCCTCTCGGGATTCCTGAGGTCTAGGCTACTGATCTCCCCCCGCCCCGCATCTCGGGGTAGGGGCGGTGAGGGATTTGGGCATGCCGCTGCTGCCGTGGAGCGGCGGTCGTGACACTGAGAGGGCCGAGAAAGCATCCCGTGCCGACCGAGAGGACAACCCATGCAGTTGAGACCCAGACCCCCGACGTCGCGATTTTTGTCGGGACGTACCCCTCATCGGAAACTGGAACATATACATTACCAGTGGCGGGTTGTTTTATCAATCCCACGACTTTCTGAGGGTCGGGGACGACGTCGGGGTGGTGTGGTGTATACTTTTCCACCGTTCTCCAGGGGAAACGACGACAAATGTATACACCAGGATCCCGTATACACCAGGATCCACGTTCCTGTGCGAATTCCAGCACAGGGTCGGAAAAAAGCGTCGGTGTATAGAGTTCGCTTCCCTACCTCAGAAGTCTGGACCCCTTCCCCGGGGACCGGTTTTTCATCCTGAATCGTGTTTGGCGGTTCCGAGGCCCAGGAAGGGCCCCGGGAGGCCGAAAAGAGCGAAACAGTTCCCGTCGTGATTTTTGTTCACAGCGCGAGGGGGTCTGGGGACACAGAAACATGCTTGGTGGATGTCGAGAGTCGTTCTGTGCTGGATCCCCAGCTTCCGCTTGTGCGCCCTGGTTGGGGGGCTGGCCGCAGCCGAGAATCAAAGCGATCACGAGCTCAAACGATGTGTTTGCTCCAAGCTGGCTCCAGATGGTCCTCTCGCCCCTGCCGGGCTCCCCGGGTGGTCCCAGAGGGTTGTAAACAGGGTGAAATCGGAGATGGGCATGCAGAATTGATCAGTAAAAACTTGACTGGTTGGTTTCGGAATAATGCTGAAGCCAGGTCTGCTTTCAAATGCTAGCTACTTACTCGATGTACGAGTTGCCTTTAGTTCGCGTCGGTCAGCTCCTGTCTGACACTCTGTCTCGTGCGCTCTGCGCTGTTCTGTGTTTGTCTCTCTTTGTTTCCAGTGTGATTTCCCGCGCTGGTTGTGCACAGTCGACCCAAACGATTCCCGTATGCTTGACCCTTTCCCTGGAGTCTCGGGTGTTGTCTTGTGTTATCTGCCCTGTTCTCGAGGGCCACCCCGCTGCCCAGACCGTCCCCTGCTGAGGGGCTGCACCCCGCACACCCCGTGAAGCCTACAGGCGGCCCGGACTAGTAGGTCGACCCTGCCAGGTCATGGGCACCCTCGTGTCCCGTGTCTTGCGACCCATGCCTCCTGCAGTTCTATGGCAACGTGGCCCTCGGAAAGGTCTTGTGTCCTCTCGCGTGTCCGCCCCAACCAAGTCCGACTCCAGCGCTCCTCGTGGTAACAGCCTGGCCGCACGGTGTGGCACGCCGCGCGCGGCCCTCCGAGCCAGCCCGCCGTCCCGCGCGGGGACGCGGCCACGACCCGCTCCGCCCCTGCAGGTGCCCAGGGGGTTGCAACCTTGGTGTGGCGAACGGCCTCCTCCTCCTTTTCCTCCTCCTCCTCCTCCTCCTCCTTTTCCTCCTCCTCCTCCTCCTCCTCCTTTTCCTCCTCCTCCTCCTCCTCCTCCTCCGCCTCCTCCTCCTCCTCTCTTCCTCCTCCTCCTCCTCCTCCTCTTCCTCCTCCTCCTCCTCCTCCTCCTTCTCGGTGTCGCCGTCGCCGCCCTCGGGGAGGAAGCCTTTTAAAGCACCGACGGACCTGATGGGGATTGGCTTTTCACGGCTCTCGGCGATTCCCTGGCCTTCCCGGGGCGTGCTCGTCGCCGCGCCTGGATCCGCGTCGAAGCTCTGATCACGACGCGCCCCTGGAAAAACTCACAGCTCGACGGTGGCGGCGCTCGGAGCGGCGAGCTGGGGAACACGATGGCCCCGGGCCCCCGGGGCTCTCCCGAAGCGCCGGCCAGGGCGCCCGCGCCCGAGGTCGGGGCTCAAGAGACGGGGGTCGATGCAAACGGGGGTCAGACTGACCGGGCTTTGCGTTGACCCGGGCCAGTGAGCCCCCGACGAAGGTTGTGCGCACCTGCTCGGAGCACCGTTTGCCCCCACGCCGTGTCTGGCCCAGGCATGCGCTCGTCTGGGGGGTGGGGGGGGGCTCGGCCCGGAGGTGGGGCCCAGTTGGCCAAACAGTTCTCCCAGGGCCAGCCCTGAAAATCGGGATCATAGAAAATCCGCCGCGGGAGCCTGGCGGGGCAAACCATTGGGCTACAGGTGAACGTCTTCAAATTCGGCCTTTCGGAGTTGGGCGGAAGGAGGGAGGTCTGGCTCTGGACCTCTGCTTGGTGCGACGAGTGTTTGCAACAGTGCAACCTGTGGGCAAGACTCCACCTGCTCGAGACAGGCGCCAAACAATGCCAAGATCTTACCCATGGGGGGGATGGGGGGGGGGCGGCGCCCCTCGGACCTCGCAGCTCGAGCTCCTTTCGGCGGCGGCGACGACGGCGGTGGCGGCCAGCGAAAAAAACCTGCGCTCACGAGTTTTCGACTATTCTCGTTATTCGGTCACATATCTATAGTCATAGACGTATGTATATATGTATGTATGTCTGTAGATATGGATGCATATGGATCGATGTGCATGTGTATATATACACATCGGCAGCTCTACACGCATACATACGTATATGTATATACGCATGTATAGACATATGTATATGTATATGTGTATGCATCTGTATATGTATATGCATATGCATATGCATATGCATATGTATCTGTATATGTATATGTATATGCACATGTATATGCTTATGTCTATGCATATGCATATGTATATGTATATGTATACGTATATGTATATATATATATATATGTATATGTATATGTATATGTATGTGTATATGTATATGTGTATGTGTATGTATATGGATATGTATATGTATATGTACATGTACATGTATATGTATATGTATATGTATACGTATATGTATATGTATATGTATATGCATATGTATGTGTATGTGTATGTCAATGTGTACTTGCATACGTATATGTATATGCGTATGTGTATGCTTATGTTTATGTTTATGCTTATGTAAGTATGTATCGGTAAGTCTGCATGTATGTATGTATGCATGTATACATATTCATGTATGTATGCATGCACGCATGTATGCATATATATATGTATATGGATGGATGTATGTATGTATGTATGCATGTATGTATGTATGTATAGATGTATACAATGTATATACCATGTATCTGTATATGTCGATGTGCCGATTCAGTTTTGTTTAAAGGGCCAGGGACGCTGAAAAAGCCCCCCCACCCCCCCTAACGAATTTGGCCCTCCCCAGGCCTCCGGGCAACCCTTCAGACGACCCGGGAGAATCTCACGAGAGCCCGAAGACTGCCCCAGACGGGTTCCTGGCGTTCCGTCGCGCTCCCGAAACGACCCCAGAGAGCCCCAACGCGGCCCACGACGATCCCCAAGAAGCCGTCATACCCCCAAAGATCGCTCCAAAGCGTCTCAGGAGACGTCCAAGAACACTCACAAGAAGGCCCCAAGAGGCGAACACTCACAAGAAGGCCCCAAGAGGCAAACACCATTGATTTTCTACGGTTTTTGGTGAATTTGGAGGTTGTCCTCTTTTCGGCTTCCCGACGCTCCAAGACGGCGGTTTTCGCGGGGTCCGACGCCGCCTGGGAGGCTCCCAAGTCGCCCCACAACCATCCGAAAGGGCTGATGGCAGTCCAAGAGAGCTCCAAAACGGCACACCAGGGGTCCGAGATGGCACTACGAGAGCCCCATGGCGGCCCAGGATGGCCCCAAGACGCCCGCCGAAGCATTCCAAATCGTGACCCGGTCGTTCAGGGAGACCGCGGTTGGAGGCAGGGCGGCCCGAGGAAGCCCCCAGAGGCCCCCAGAACACGCCCCGGAGGTCTCCAGAAGGCCTTAAGAAAGATTGAAGCACTTCTGTGAGGCCCCCAGGGGCTCTCCAAGGAGGAAACTCCGCAAAAAGAGCTGAGGAGGATGGGAGAATGCGCAGCGTATGGCAATAATGAAAAAGAAGAGGCATGAAGGAAGGATAGCGAATCATTATTAGAACGGCGGTGCTGGAAGGGGCAGCAAGCAGTAAGCGCTACGTTGCGTGCTCAACCTCCTGCCACTTCGCCTCCATGCCAAACTCCAAGGACCAAGGTGCACGGTGCGAAGCGCCACTGCAGTCTTGTATGTATATATACAAGGCATCCCTATATGTGTATCTTTCTACACATGGATATATACATAGGTGTGTTATGTGTATACATTTGTATATATATATATATGTATATATATAGGCGATCGCTTTCTGTATATGCATACATACGCATTACTCCTATGTGCTTATCATCCCTTTACATATATATTTATATATATATGATCATTCCTAGATATGTATACTTCGCCGCTACGAAAGTTCGACCAACATTCAGCGCCTCCCGTTAGGCGACGGGGCCCCAGTACAACGTTGGCAGTGGGCCCGTTAGGCCGCGGGGCCCCAGTACAATGTTCGGTTGAAGCATTTTTCGCTCCAGTCTCGGGCGGCACCGCCCTTCCGGAATCGAGCCCGCGGGTTTTGAAATCCAGTCGAGCTCGTTTTGGGGAGGAAGTCCTAGGCGAAAACCACATTTCGAAATCGAGCCCGAGGGTTTCGAAATCCAGTCGAGCTCGCTTCGGGGAGGAAGTCCTAAGGGAAAACTGCATTTTCGTGTTTTCGGGTCAGGGCTTTTAACATTTTAAATGCCAAGCGGTGTGGC